AGTGCGGGCAGGTGGGCGTGGCGGCTCCAGGTGGGCCGGAAGCCCCGCCGCACTTCTTACCCCGCCGCCGCCGGAAGGCTCGGGAGATCTGGCTGCCCGTCGAGCCCGCTCCGCTGCCGCTGAAGCCCCCGGAGGCGGCGGCCCCCATCGACGGCGCCTCCGCCGCCCCGGCCCTGAGCGCGCTGGGCCCGCAGCTAGGCTGGCTCTTCCTGGACCAGCCGGAGGCGGCCTTCGGGGCCACGGCGCGGCTGCTGCACGAGCACGTCTACCTGGGGGACTCCACCGACTGGGTCAGCGCGGGCGGGAGGCGGCGGTGGTTCCCTGGAGCCCTGCGGGGAGGGAAGGCGGGCCCCCGCCGGCCCCTCCTTACCCGCCGCCCGCTCTCTTCCGCAGAGGAGAGCCGGAGGCGTCTGCGGGATGACCCGCCTCCTTCGAGCCCTGGAAGGCCAGACGCCGGGCGGCAGGCAAGTGCCCTTGGAGGGGCGAGCGGCGGGGGAGAGCCCGGGACCTGCGCTCGGCCGGCGAGGCTGCTTCCCCAAGCCGCCCTCGGGATGGGAGGAGGAGGGGGCGACGTGTGAGCGGCCGCTGTTCCGTCGTGCCGTTTCAGCACCGGTCGGCCTCTCTCCGGGGTGGCCTCGCTGTGCCGCGACTGGCTGTCGGAGCTGCCCCTGAAGGTGGTGGCCGAATGGCTCCACGAGGATCTGGCCGAGCAGCGGCGGCGCCTGTCCTTCGACGAGAGCCCCACCGGCGGAGCCTTGGCCTGGCTGCCCGACGGCGCCCGCGGTAAACCTCCCCGCCGGGGCTGCCTGGTGTTCCCGGCCGGGGAAGCGGCGGACCGGCTCTGTATCCTGCGGCGCGAGGGGGCGGGGCGGTCCTGGGCGGCGGGACAGGCGCCCCTTCGCCGCGCGTCTCTTCCTTAACGGCCCCTGCAGGCTTCCAGGAGGCGGCCTTGAGGCCAGTGGCCAGCGGCGCCCTAAGACCCGAACTCCGCGGCTTCCCCGTCCAGTTCGAGCTCAATGGAGCCGTCCAGCAAGTGGCAGCAGCGCACCTGGAGGGCAGCGGTGGGTACGGCAGGTCCTGAGGATGGTACTGGCCCTCTGTTGCCCCACCACCACCACTCTTCCCCTCTTGAAGGGTCCCTTTCTGTTTCCTCCCTCCCAGACTTCCTGGGGGTGCGCTCCGACCATTTCTGCGGGGCCTGGAGGAAGCAGCGTGGAAAGACCCCCAGTCCTCTGCAGGTGGTTCGCACAGAAGCCCCCTGTTCTTCCATCGCAGTCAGGTAAGGGGTGTCTGTAACGTTCCCGTGGTTCGCCCATGAGGCCGATGTTGAGAAAAGACAGGACACAACCTTTCTCGGGATGAGGCGACAACGACCCAGATTGGGGGTCTGAGAGCCCCTTTTATTGAGATAGGACAAAGGCAGGAGGAGCAATCAGCATGTGATTTAAGACAGCCTGTCAAACTACAATTGCTAATCTACTGCTCAGAGAAGTTCTGTCTATATATGGTCAAATCCTGGGCGTCATTGGTAGGGCACATCTAGAGCGAACTATCAGGATGTTATGTTATGAACTATCAGGATGTTATGTTCTTTTAGGAGTTTGTTTTCTCCTGTGTGGTTCAGCGTGGCTCTGCATGCCCTAGTATGAACTGGGCCATGGGGGACACACACCTACACAAGGAACTATATTACAACAGGCGTCTTCTCCAAAGGGCTGGGGGGTGGGGCTCTGGGAGCTTTCTGCCAGTGAGACACGAGGGGCTGGCCTCCTGCTTGGGGGGGGGGGAAGAGGCAAGGGATCTCTGCCCTTCCCTAGCTCCGCTGTCTTCTTGCAGCCCCCACCTACCCGGCGAGCTGTCCTTGTGCACCCTGCAAGGGGAGCTGTACCTCTGGAACGTGGAGACGGGGTGAGCAAGTGAGGCTGACTGCCTCCTTGAGTGGGGCCCACACTGGAGGGGAGGCATGGAGGGGAATGTGTTGCTTAGCTGTTCTGCTGGGGGAGGCGGGAGGGGGGGGAATGGCCAATGGGCCTCCTGAGCGCCTGGGGGGGAGGGGGGGAGATCCTTTGTCCCTGCTGCCTCTGGAAGTCCGGGTGTTGCCCTCTTGCCAGCAGACCAGCTTTTGGCTGTGAGGGGGCAGGACTGACCCCTTTCCCTACAGGCTCCGGCGGCTGCACCACGACCGCGACAGCCTCTTCTTCCGGGACCCTTCCCCTTGGCGCTGGAGCGAGTTTTCTGCCCACCCACAAGTGCTGACTTTTGCTGACCACACCGGCCTGAAGGGTCTCGACCAGAGGGTGAGCTTGAGCAGGGCGGGGGGGGCCACCGGGGGTAGCGGCTGAACTGCCAATCCCTCTGCCTATGAGGGAGGGGGCTGCTGAGAAGGGCCCCTGGGCGGGGGGTGGGGGGCGGGCAGTCGCACCTAGCTGCTGACCTTCCTGGCCTGCCCCCCCAGGTGTCCTCCCACTTCGACCTCTTCAAGGTGGGGGCTGAAGCGGATTGCCAGCGTGGGGAACGCCTTGTCCTCTCCAAGTACCTGGGCCCTTCGGAGCCCTTCCACCACTTAGTGGCCACGGCGGGGAACCTAAGGGGGGGGGGGTTGTTTGGGGGCTGTTGGGGGCAGTCTTTGTCTGGACCAGGGGCCTCAGCCTGGGGCATCCCCCCCCCTTCTGTGCAGGCTGCCTTCCCTGGCTGCCCCCATGGCTTGGCAGAAGCAGGGGGCTGGCTCCTTGCCTGAGGGTCCCTGTGCCTAGAAACACACAGACATTAACATTCATTCACCCGAAGTTTTCGGTCTTTGTGCTGGACGAACGCTTCCCCCTGGTGCCTGTCCTGTCCTGGGAGCACATGATGCAGCGGCCACCCATCTATGCCCACCACATACCTGCCGGGCCTGGGCAGCACAGCCACAAAGTGCTCCTGGGTGCCCACCACTCCCAGGAGATGCTCCTGCTGCAGTACTCAGGTGGGCACCAGAAGAGGCCCTACACCCTCCATTGGCATTGAGGCAGTCATGCCCAGTGGCCCGGGGGGGAGCCTGGGTGCTGCAGGACTCTGAGGTGGCTGGGCTGTCTCCACAGGTGGGCACAGCCTCCCTTGCCAGCTCCAAGGTGCGCCCCAGAAGCTGCCCTCCATCAAGGAGTGTCTGCCCCACTTTCCCACGCAGGTGCCTGTGAGGCAGAGCGCCCTCAGCCAGCGGCTCTCCGTCCCCACAGCAGGTAGGGGCTGGAGGGGTGGGTGGGTGGGAGGGGTGGCAGATGAAGGGAAACGGGCTTTGCACTCCAAGGAGGTTCTGGGTGCCTCCCTGCACCTCCAGAGGAGAAGCTGCTATCGCTCACACCCACCCACACACCAGCCAGATCCAAAAACCCGGGCTAGCCTCCTTGCCAATAGCAGGGCAGAACCTGGCATAGCTGGGCATCCAGCAGGGCTTCAAGAATTGGTTCCCCCCCCCCCAAATCTCATCTCTCCCCCCCTCCCCCAATCCAGGCATTGCAGCAGCCCTGGGCCAGAAGGAGGGCATCCAGACCCTGCTGATCTTCCAGCTTTCCCAGGCCGGGGACCTCTTCTACCAGCCGCTGCTCCCCAAGGCCAATGGGGATGCTCCCACCGACTCGGAGCCAGAGACCAGTGTTGCAGGCGCCGTGGTGGGCAGACCCTGCCAGGACCCCATTTCTCCAGACGGAGCCAAGACCACTTGTACCCCAGCAGCTGCAACCCTCTACCGGCGCTGGCTGAGGTCCTGGAAGCGGGCTGCCCCACCCACCCTGTACTGGCAGTGCCCTCCGGCCACGCTCAACCAGGGCTGCCTCTTCGCCCACCGAGAGCCGAGGGACACGGAGGGGGCTTCCCCGTCCTCTCTGGAGGCTTCCTGCCGCCTGCGCGGGGCCATGCGGGAAGAGCAGCTCTTCTGCTCCTGGGGGGACGAGAGTGGTGTCCCTGTGCCCCCTGCCCCACAGCTCCCCCTAGGGGAGCTCAGCCAGCGACTGGAGGCTTCCTGGGCGGGTGACTGGGCGGCCTGGTGGCTGGAAAGGTTGGGGGCCACCAAGGCCCGGCGACAGCAGGCGCTGAGGGAGCAGCGGAGGCGAGCCAAGCGGCGCAGGGGGACGCAGAGCCTCTCGGGCAGCTTCACCTCCTCCACCAGCTACCAGTCGGAGCTCAGTGACTGGTCGGGGGACGGCAGGGCTCCCAGGCCCCCTCCCGCCCTGCCCGCGGAGCCCCCCTCCCAGGCTCCCCCCACTTTGCCAGCCGCTTCCCAGGGGGACTCCCAGGAGCTGCTGTCCTCGCAGAGCTTGAGCGCCCGGGGCATCCCCCACGAACGACGCCAGACTCTGCGCAGGTATCTGGCTGTGCTGGACCAGCCCCCGGAGCCCCCCGAGGAGCCCCTGTCTGCCAGCCAGGCTTCGGTGCGCAGCAGCCAGCGGGGACCCTCCTCTTCCCAGGGGCCCCAGCCGAAACGGGCCCGCATGGGCTTCTGAGGTGGGGAGGTTGCACTTTCTTTTGGGCCCGATGAATAAAAAGGAGTCGCTTTCTTAGCCGGGCTGCCTCTCTTGCTGTTGTCGGGAGGGGGACGGTGTAACACGTGTGTGGGGAGTGTGTCCTGCAATCTCTTGTCCCACCGCTAGGGGCAGAGGTGCGGGAGTGCGCATGCGCTTGCTCGAGGGGGCGGCGCTAGCAGGCATGGCAGCGGCGAGGCTAGGGGGGCGGTTGCTGGTTCGCGCCTGGGGCCGTCCGGGACAGGTAGGGGGGGCGGCGGGCAGGGGCGGAACGGGGGGGGGGGAGAGAATAGCTCCGAGCGCCTCTTCCGGAGTTCTCCCGGGGGGGGCTTCCAGGACCCCCCTGCAGGCGGGGGTCGCAGCGGGGTGACGGGCGCCGTCTGTCCGGCAGAGGGGCTTGAGTGCGGGCGGGCCGAGTGAGGAGGCGGAGCGGGCGCAGCGCGCGGCCGAGCAGCCCGGTCCCACCGTCTTCAGCCGGATCCTGGACGGCTCCATCCCGGCGCACGTGCTCTACGAGGACGACCAGGTAGGCGCTGGCTGGGATCGGGGGTCGGGGAAGGCAAGAGGGGGTCGCGCAGGAGGCTCACCGCGCTCTCGCTCCCTTCTCTCGGGCGCCCGCAGTGCCTGGCCTTTCGGGACGCAGCGCCGCAGGCTCCGGTGCACTTCCTGGTGATCCCGCGCCGGCCCTTGACGCGTCTTAGCCGGGTCTCCGAGAGCGACGCTCAGGTGAGAGGTTGGCATGGCCAGAGGGTGAAGGGCGGGTGGGCAGGGGGCGACACCACCCCCCCCACGAGCCTGGTGAAGGATCCGCGCTTCCCCGCCTCCCCCTTGGGGGGTGGGGGGGCTGGATCTTCTCCTCGGGTCTGGAGCCTGGCGGGGAGAAGGGGCTCTGCGACCCCCCCACTCCTCCATCTCCCTCCCTGCCAGCGACCCCCCACTCCTCCATCTCCCTCTCTGCCCAGCGACCCCCCACTCCTCCATCTCCCTCTCTGCCCAGCAACCCCCCACTCCTCCATCTCCCTCCCTGCCCAGCGACCCCCCAATCCTCCATCTCCCTCTCTGCCCAGCAACCCCCCACTCCTCCATCTCCCTCCCTGCCCAGCGACCCCCCAATCCTCCATCTCCCTCTCTGCCCAGCA